TTTATTTATTTGAGAGAAAGGCATGCATGTGCATGGTAGGGAGGGGTGCAGAGGGAGAGGGACAGCAGACTCCCTGATGAGCACAGAGCCTGATGCAGGGCTTGACCCCAAGACCCTAAGATCATGACTGAGCCTAAATCAGACACCCAACCAACTGAGCCACCTGGCACCCCAGCAATAAAAATATTTGTAACTAAAATACCTAGCTGGCATAACCACGTCTTATTCTGAACAGTTACAGTCAGTTCACTAAAAGTATGTTCTAACTTTGACTGATCTTTTATAGACACATTCTTTAGATATTTATAGCTATTTTCATTTATTCACATCTATTTCTACAAATCTGTGGTCTTTAGCAGACCCAGAGAGGAATGTGTTTAAGCACTGCACTTGCTTCGGAGACGTGCAATCTTTGGAAACCCCTGCCGTCTGGTGTCCAGTATAGGGAAATACTTCTGTCTTAGCTGTGAATGTTACAGGAGTAAGAGGCAAGTTTAAAGCTCTTGACACTCATCAGGGACTGTTCCTAGGGGACAGGCCATTGGGTATTATGCATGTTGACTCCCTAGTGTTTCTTCCTTAATGAAGTTCAAAGGAACGTTACACCACCATTTCTCAACCTCGTCACTACTGACATTTTGAGCCAAATCATTATTGCGGGGACTGTCCTGTGCAACGCAGTAGGTTATGGCCCCCGGTTCGAGCCTGAAGCCCAGGTTGCAATTCCTAAGTCCTCATGTTATGTACTACACACAGGGGGATGTTCCAGGTGCCAGATATGAAAGCATCCACTTTGTGGTAGGACATAGAGTCCACAACAAAATTTTAAAAATTTAAATGAAAAACAACCACTTCTTATTAAGCACGATGGGAGTCGATATGATGATTCCTTCCTTCATTCATTAAGTAGGTATGAGTTAAGCAGCACCTCTGAGATGTAGTTGGGGGCTAGGACTATGGACCTGCCCTTCAGGAGCTAACACATCTAGAAGGGTTCAACGGGGTATTTTTCAGTTTTAAGTCCAACTGACTTAATAATGGAACACACACACATTTGAAAAGCCCACAGGCAGTGCAGGCTTCAGGTAAGGCTGGGGACAGCGACTCAGGCTTGTCATCAAGGACCATGTTTCCTTCAGCCTCCCTGCTCCTCCTATTGTCAGTTCCATCCTAGGGCTGACCTTCCCGTGGTCAAGCTCCTAATACTACATGCTTCCTCATTTCCTGAAAGGACCTGAGATTCACTTTGAGTGGACTAGTTTAGGTCACCTGCCCATCCCCAAATCAATTGTTGCCACCAAGGGGATGGAAAGTGTTGATTTGCTTAGTCTGGATCCCTTGCTCCAACCATGCCACCAGTTCCCATGGAAATCATGTTGACTCCACCAAAGCACCCCGGTATTGCTGGAAGGGGAGAAGGAGAGCCACAAATGCCAGGCAGATGTGGAGTCCTCAACCAGCCACAGTGCGCACATGGTCTTTACTCTTTTCCACGCAGGCTCTGCCGGCTCATTTCAGCCAGTACCAAGGCCCCAGCACCATTTGTGTGGGTCTCTGGGAAGGCAGCCCTCTGTGCTTTACACCTGCTCCTCCCTCTGAAATCTCCTTCCAGCTCCACTCCTCAGTCACCTGCTTCTTTCAAAGCTCAGAGTCAGCCCTTCCGAGGCAGCTTTTCCCCCTTCCTCCGTGCTTCCCTGGACCCTGTATTGCTCATGTTTCATTTGTCCACTTCTCCAACATGGCACTAGATGATGGCTTTAGACCTGCATTCTGAGAGTTTTTGGTCTACTAAGTTCCTAATTCCTAATAAAGGAATTGAGAGCTTTTGGTAGTGATTCCTCTGGTGTCCTCAAATTTCAAAAACAAGATGGCTACAATGTGTGTGTGTGCGCATCTATGCACACTTGTACATGTGTGAAAGAGAGTGAGGGAAGCAGACAGGAGCTGTGAAAAGAGCAAAGGATGTACAGTCAGATTGTCCTGGGTCTGAATTCTAGTTGGCACCCTTATAGATCTGAGGCTTTGGCCAATGGATCCTCACTAAACCGTGTTTTCTCGCCTTAAAAATTATGCATTATATATGATGCAATTATGCTTTCTATGACCTTTACATCACCGTAACCCGTTACTATGCTATTGTGCCTGTTTTTCACTTACATAATGCACATTTAACAAATAGTGCATTTAATAAATACTTTTAAGTATTGCCGTAACTATGATTCCCTTATTGGTAAATCACAAGGTGACTTTGGCTGGGAGACATCAACGATGCGTCATTCCAAGAAGGACAAGAGAAGTAAGGCCCTTCGGGGCTTAAAGAAATGTGTCCCCTTCCAGCTGCATGTGACCCGCAGATCAGAGGTGGAGTGGAAGGTGGAGGTGCGGCTGTCCCTTCCACCTGCCCTGCCCAATCGTACCCTCCGTGGCACCTGCCTTGGCACAACAGCTAGTGTGTGCCCACAGGACTTGAATTAGCCCTGCATGCATGCAGAAAGGATAAAAATGATCATAGTCTTTTATTTATTTTTTTTACATGATCCATTTTAACTAATGCATTTAGGGCAGGTTTAGTACAAAAAGTGGGAAATAGTACAACAGGCTTGGAGACATATCTAGGTTTTAAAATATTAACTCTTATGGCAAAAATACCCCTTTATGAGACCCTTCTATAAAGTTGCCTTTTCCTTGATATGAAACATGGTCCTTCAGATGTATGGTGTTGACACATCTGTCCTTGTTGGCTTCTTTGGTCTAAGCTTCCACTCGGTTGTTCCTAGCCAGGTGGCTAACCTTTCTGAGTATCACTTTGCTCATCTATAAAATGAAAATAATTCTAATGACGGAACGAAGCCCTGTTGTAAATGTAGTGCACCTCACTCCCTCAGTCTTGTCACTTTTCATCTTTCTATTTATGATAAATCCACCAGCCCTGAGTTTGCTGGAAATCTAGCCTTTTCCCAGAGCCCCTTGGCCATATATATTCCCCAGAGGTCAAGACTAACAACCCCCAGATGTATGATGACATTGTTTCCTCCCTCTGCCTCGTCCCACCCTAGGCTTCAGGGGCGAGCCTTTTCTTTCTGGTTCCTCCACGGGGAGTTAATTACTTCAATGCCCCACTTTGGAAAAGCTCTCCATAAGCATTTTTGTTTTGAAAGTTTGGGACTCTCAACCATATCCTATCTTCTTAATAGTGTACGTGTTTTTAGAAAGACCTAGGGACTTTCTGGAGTCTAAGAATGTAAAATTTGTATCATGGACGATTCTGAATGTCTTTGGGAGAAGTACACAATCCATGACCAGACCAGAATCTACTGAGAAAATAATTTATTCAACTGTGAATCGGGAATTTTATTATTATTTTGTTTAATGTTTAAGAAGAACTATTCATGAGATCTTGTGTTTACTCACTTGGGATTTAAATTTAAACAAACAAAAGGAAATCAGGATTCCCTCAAAGGTAAATAAACATCAATCCTTTCCCCTAATCTTTTAAGATAAGGCATTTCTTTGGTGTAGGACATAAATGCTCAACTGTCCTTACTCCAGAACGGATCCCGGAAAACTTGAATCCTGGAGAGGCAGCACCCTGATGTGTGGCCTTCATTTTCTTTCACGAAGTCCGCTTCTTCAGGTCTTTGTTGATTTGGTTTGGTTTTGCCGGGTTGTGAGATTTTTTGGCAAGGACTGAGAGTAGGAGGCACAGTGAAAGGGTAGGAAAAAAAAAATGTGGGTTTTATTTGGATCACACCATGGAGCCAGGGCAGTGGTTCTTCAAATCCATTACTTAAAAATGGAAACAAACTGACCCAAACTGGAACACATGCCAACTATAAATATTCCTGCCTATGTAGATGTTGCCTCCCAACTTCCTTGACACTGAATCACTTAACTTTAAATAATATGTAGAATTTCAGAGCTTCTCTTAGAGAAGGGAACTGCATGTTAAGCTGTTCAGTCATGAGGATGGGGTCTCCCACTGCCATCCCCTCTGCTTCTGATATGAAGCAGATTTTATTCTCTGTTGTTATTCTGGTTGTTACACTGCTTTAGTGCAGATGGGGCAGGGGAAAACAAGAGGTTGCTTGATGGGAGGGTTTTTCCAATCCGGTCTACTCCTGGATGTCAGCCCTCCACTCTGGGGCATGATGGGCTGGGGGGCCCTGAGGGTTCGAGCAGGCAGAGGCCAGGCACATTGATGACTGGCTGTCATGCAGCCCAGGTTTGGGAAGTTGAACTCTTTGCCAGCCTCTTTAGTCTACTGTGGGCCTTTGCCTACTCTGTCACCATCCACTTCAAAGCTCTGGCCACAGAACTGAGGATTCAAGCAGCGGAGTCCAGCAGACTGAATGTGACTTGGGCCAAAAGAGAAGCATCTCCATGCAAGACCACCGCCCTGGTTGCTGTGGGTCTGAGGGGGCCAGAGATGGCCTGCACGGCCTCCCACAAAGCCTCCCACACAGCACCTGGATCCGTGCTGTGTTTAAGCACCAGCCCCATGCCCTGCGCCCCTCAGAGGTGGCCCACAGTGACCAGCCTCTTTTCCCACCCTCTGCCACTTCATGGCAAACTCACTATGAGTCTGTTTCCACTCCATGCTGAGCCCCCACTGGCTCATTCACATATCCTGGGACTCCAAACCTTCACCACCATGCTATCCACTGGGAATTCTCCACCAATCTGTAGAGAAGCCAAATGACATTTTCCTGATGGGAAAAGAACATGGACAGCCAATGGCCTGAAGCAGTCTGCTCCTGAAACCATCCGAGGATTGCCAAGGGGGACGGACTGTGTCCTTCCTCAGAGTTCTGCTGCTGAGCAACTCAGCAAGGACACTGAAGTCGAGGAGCTGACCCCTCACAAATGTATCTTGTGGCTAAACACTTCCTTAGCACCTTTTTCTCCAGTATGTTATCTGGCATGTGCAGAAGGTTTCTGGCTTTTTCTTTGCCTGCGTCAAAAAAAAAAAAAAAAAAAAAAAAAAATCTTTTTTTTTTTTGGTATTTCCCCCAAACCCAGAATAAATAGAAATCACTGGGAATTTACACCTGATTACCATAGGTTCATTCTCCCATACTGCGAAATTCAAAGTTACAAGTAAGTATTTGTGGTGTTGGTGTTTTGTTAGTATTGTTTAAAAGTTAAGTGTTACTCTCCTGAGAAAGTTGCCAGAATCATACTCTCTCAAATTCAGAAGCCTACCAGCACAGTTTAAAGTCAGATATTATTTCTAACCAAATTATACTCTTTTGTCTGCCAAGATATCTTGACAGTCTTAATATCCGAAGGCAGGCCTATGTGATAATCCCAGCAGTATTCTGGGGATAAGATTTTAGTGGGTTTGTTGAGAAGGAAATACTTGTTCAGGTGGCTTTCATCATGCCACTCGGCTTCTATGTCATTTTTCTTGTCCTGGAGGATTCCCTTGAAGCACTCCTGGGTGATGTTTAGGACCTGAATGGGTGTGCCTCCAAAAATGGCTGCATGGTAATAAAAATCCCCTTGGCCAAATGGAATGTAGGCTGCAGACTCCTTCCGCCTCTCGTAGGTAAACTCGTCGGGATCTGCCTTGTACCACCAGGCCTGCAGCTGAGCCACCGAGTGGCCCAGCGTCTCCACTCCAAAGCTATCTTGGAAGACCTGGTCCACGTCCATGCAGAAGAGGAAGTCCACTTCATGTTGGATGTGGGCCACAATGTGCTCCCCAATGGTTTTCATACGCATCATGCTGATGTCCTGCCACCTCTTCTCAGGCTTGATCTCAAACACTTTGAAGGAACGCAGAGGACCCAGCTCTATCAAGGGCATCCTGGAGACATCGTCCACCATGATGTAAAATATGACTTTGTGGCCAACCATGAAGTACCTATTGGCAGATACTAAGAACTCCTCCAAGTAATGCTCAATGTATCTGAAACAAAGAAGAATGGGACAAATGTAATTGCTGGTATCTGCACAGGAGACTCCATGCTCTTACAATGATCTTGTCTGTGTTTGGCAGTGTAGGGGAGGAATGATCTTCCCCATCCCAGACCTGTGTTTTCCACATCTGATAGGGCAACATTCCTGGCTGCTTTCCACCATTCATTCGCTCCACTTTGGGGAGGAGGAGTGACTTACCTGCTGATGTTGGAAGACTGACCTGTACCCACCACTCTCACTCTTGGAGCCTGTGTTCTCAACTGCTTGGGGCCTTGAAGTGAGAGTACTGGAACAGGCCCTACCCTGCATCTGGAAGCCTGGATACCTGATCTTTCTAATTCAGTGATTTAATATCAGGAAGCCTAGGGTCTGCAGACAGAAGCCACATTCTCCAGTACCCACCTTAACTGCAATGAACATGATTTCACGTCATCTATCTTGCTTAGATTAGCCCTTAGTCTTATTTATCTCTTGGTTCAGACTGGGCAGCAAAGTGGGTACTATTTGATATTTTTTTCCCAGCTTCACTGAGGTAGTTGACATGTAACATTGAATAACATTAAGGTATACAAAGTACTGGTTTGATACACTTGTATATTACAAAATGATTACCACTACAGCATTAGCGGATACCCCCATCATGTCACATAACTACTATTTTTTTTTGTGATGAGAACATCTGAGATCTACTCTCTTAACAACTTTCAAGTGCATAATAACAGTATTATTAACTATAATCACCATGATATACATTAGATCCCCAGAACTTATTCATCTTGTAACTGGAAGCTTGTACCCTCTGACCAACATCAGGGGGCACTAGTTCTCCCTCAAACTATACCCAATGTTGCTATTGTCCTACCGGATACAAGAGTGACATGACCCTTAGGTTCTTTGGGGACATATTATGCCTAACCATCACTATTCTCATATCCTCTTCTGGGACCCAGAGAATGGGTTACAGGGCATAGATATCCTTCTTCTTCTTTTTTTTTTTTTTTTAAGATTATTTATTTATTTATTTGACAGACAGAGATCACAAGTAGGCAGAGAGGCAGGCAGAGAGAGGAGGAAGCAGGCTCCCTGCCGAGCAGAGAGCCCGATGTGGGGCTCGATCCCAGGACCCTGGGATCATGACCCGAGCCAAAGGCCACCCAGGAGCCCCCATAGATATCCTTCTATATTACATATTCACCCTGGGAGCCTCCCACTGATCACCCCAAACACCAATACACTGTTCAGATACCACCACTGTAAGACGCCTCCTAACACCAGAGCAAACAACCTGATTTAACCTTAGTTTAACTATTTTTTTCCTTGTTTTTCAAAACAGATTTTATTTTTCACACCATGTTTAGGTTCACGGCAAAACTGAACTGTAAGCACAGAGTTCCCATGTACCCACTGCTCCCCTTCCCTTCCCACAGCTCCCCGCCACTACCAGTATCCAGCATTGGGGTGACACATGCCTTGCAATCCGTTAATCTTCACTGACCTATCATAATCACCCCATAGTTTACATTAAGATTCACTCTTGGTGTTGAACATTCTATGGATTTGGACAACTGTATAGTGACATGTATCTATCACTATGTATGGTATTATACAGAGTATTTTCAATGCCCTAAAATTCCTGTGTTCTGCCTGTTCATCAGCACCTCTCCCCCAACCCTACCCCACCCCTGGCGATCACTGATCTTTTCACTATCTCCATAGAATGTCATATAGTTGGAATCATACAGTATGCAGTCTTTTTAGATAGGTTTCTTTCACTAAGTTAACATGCATTTAAGGTTCCTCCAAGTATGCATGGCCTGATAGCACATTTCTATTTAGCACTGATAATATTCTAGATATTACAGTTTATTTATCCATTCACCTACTGAAGGATGTCTTGGTTGTTTCCAAGTTTAGCAATTATCAATAAAGCTGGTGTAAACATCTGTGGGGAGTTTTCTTGTGTAGACATATGTCTTCAACTCTTTTGGCTAAGTAACAAGGAGTGCAGTTGCTGAATTATATGGTAAGATTATGTTTACCCTTGTAAGAATCTGCCAAATGGTCTTCCAAAATGGCTGTACCATTTTGCATTCCTACCAGTAATGAAGGTGAGTGCTCGTTGCTCCACATCCTCACCAGCATTTGGTATATGGTACTGACAATGTGTTTTGGATCTGGGCCACACTAATGGGTGGGTGGAGATATTTTAGCTATGTATGTCTTCATTCCAAATACGTCATATTGGTGTCTTCTGTAACCCAAGATGTACAATCTTGTGAAGCCAGGAAGATCACAGAGAGGAGGAAGAAGTAGGGGTCACGTGGCTTTACACAACTCATGCAGATCCCAGACTCATGTTTTGCTCAGTGACTGTGGACTGAATTTTAATTTGCTGATCATAGCTGCAGCCAATCAAGAAGTTTTGTGAGCCATAATAACTGTTACCTCGTTGTGCTTTTTGGTGACTGCCCGGATTTCCTTTCTTTACTACCAAAACAAAGTGTGCTTTTAAAGCTGGCCACCAGAAGCCCAAGAGTTTACAGTCCTGGTGATTTAAATGGAAAGAAGATATCTGAGCAATATAAACAGGGAGTTCAGCATGGCTCTGTGGCTTGTTGCCTGGAAATTCTTGGGCACTCTGGAACTTTAAGAAAAATCTATTGTGCTCTGAATCTTGGGAGACAATCCTAGGATGAGGGAGGGAGCTGCTGGAGGTTTAACATTGTTTAGGGATTAAAACACTGCTGTTGGCTTCCTGCATTGTTATTTGAAAACAAACCAAACATCACACCTCTTAAAAGTCCAAATCCACTCTTACAAGGATTTATTGCTGCTGAGCACACAAACAGTCCTTGCAAGCTTCAGAGCGGAGAGCATAGGGCTTTCCCCAGGATATGTGATTTATAGTTTGGTTCTGCAGAGTTGCAGCTGGACGGTAAAGCTGTTTTGGAGCCATAGGCAGTATTCTGTTCTTTGGGGGAACACCAAGAGCGAAGCAATCCCTAACATAATCCCAGTGCCATGGGATTAGGTGAGCTGAGTATAGGCTCCTAACTCAGAATGCTACAAATTCTTCTGAGGAAAATGTCAAAACTCCAGAGTCAACCTTGTCTATTAGAGATGCCACCCAGGTGACTAACCAGGTCACCATTCTCGATTAGTATGGCTACAGTGATGGCTTCTGGGTTCTGGGTTGGGGGCGTCTCAGGAGAACCATCAAATCTTCACAGAGCTCTCCTTTAGGCCCTACGGCAGGTAGATCTGAGGCTCAAATCAACCTGGGCCTTCAAAACACTCTTTGTAGAGGCCAAGGGATCAACTTTCCATGTGGTTTTCAGGAAAGGAACAGAAGGAGAGACCCATGGTGGGGGTGGGGACTAGGAAAATTGAACTTTTGCTTTTGTTTTGGGGGGAAAAAAAAAACCCAAAGTCTTTCCAAAAGAGCAAAATGGTGAGTCGACTCCTCAAAACCCAAAGACTTTCCAAAACAGCCATAATATTAGTTTTAAAATGTTACATTTTAAAACTAATAATATGGCTACTAATTTCAAGTAAGAATGACTGTAGTTTTGGAAGAGGCATTCTAAACAAGGAAATGAAAGCCCAAACAGGAACCTACCCAACCTCTCTGGGGGCCAAGGAAGACCTGAGGCGCCGTGGAACACGTGGAGAATCGCCATGCTTGGATCAGTCTGGACTGTAAGTCCTTCTGTCCTTGGTCCTGGGTCTGAGAGTGTTACAAATATGGATGATGCACATTTGGGCCAACAGCTGCCATTTTTGGAATTTCCAGAGAAAGCCATGGTGTGTGTGGGTGTGCTACAGACCCTAGGCTCCATGGGTGGAAAGGACACTTTAACCTGCAACCCAAGACCCTCACTTTGAGGTGGGAAGGAGTCGACTCACTATTGTTTTGTTCTCAGCCCTCTGGGGGGCGGGGGAGCCTCAGCAGAGGAGGGATGGAAACCATCCCATTATAATATTCTCCTATCTAAGAATTCAGATAAGGCAGGAACAACTCCGTGAGCCCAGGGGGCCCCTTACAAACACTCTGACAATGAAACCAGAAAAAGCAGAGGTTGATCTTATTAGGGACACTTACCTTCCAACAGCAAAAACTGTCAAACCCACGGTAATTTTCTGTTTGGCATAATAATTTTCTAGGATGGTGCTGTTGTAAGTGCCTTCCCACACGACTGGCGCCTTCCATCCGGTCACCGTCACCACCTCTGGACGTTTCCTGGTGACAAAATATAGGGCCATGAGTCAGGACAGCTTTCCTAAGGTGGGGCAGAGACTGTCTCAGGGGACACTGGGGTCAGCTATGATCTGCTGAGACTGCCCCTGAATCCTGACTTCACCCTAGGCAGTCAGCGGATTGGTGTGACCTTTGCAGGGGCAGCATCTTCTGCGTGAGGAGCAGGAGGCTCTAGCCAGGTGCCTCTGAGGGCCGCCTTTAGGTCCCTGATGGGGATCTTACCTGTACATCTCCATCACTCTGTCTCCTTTTGCGGCTTTCCTAGTTCTCTTCCTCTGGATCCCTTCCCCTATCTCCCAGCCCTTCCTAAACTGCCAGTGGCATCTCTGGGTTCTTTCCCCATGGGTGCCATCAGGAGGCCCTAATCCTTGACTTGGGAGGATGAGAGAGTGACCTTGGAACCAAATGAGAGAAAGCTATTTTAATCTGCCTTTAGCCACAAATGGATTTCCGGGTAAAACCTTGGTTATAGGCCAAAAAGGGCCCCCAATTTAAGGGGGCTCTGGCATTATTGTTTGTTTTATGAACAAAGAGACAAAGTCACCCAGAAAAGCAAGGAATTAACAGAGCCTCCCCCCCATGGCCAAGGCTGGAACATGGGGCTCTGGCACAGACCCTCCCCTCAGACCACGTTGCCTCTTTGCTAGGAGCACAAAGGGCAAAGGGGAAGCATGTTTTCTGCACTTAGAAGGCTCAAAAGGGACTTGGCAAAGCCAACGCAAACACAGGAAGCAACACAAGAGCGACAGCAAACTGACCAACTGTGGAGGGTAGATGTGGAAAGGCTATGTAGCAGCTGGGGCCCAGCAGGAGGGGGTGATACAGACTCAGCTCTGACCCCCAACTGCTCAGGAAGTGGCTACATTTCCCCTGCTGGGAAGCAGAGACTGAAACAGTCATCAGATTCAAACCCCAGCACGAATGGGCCTGTCCCCGTTAACCACCTGCTTGTACTTCATCCACTGAGGGGGAAAGGCCAGTGATGAGGGCAAAGTCCTCGTGGTCCCCACTGGGGCCCGGCCGGCTGTGTGCGTGTGGCCCTGGGGAGGCTGTTGGGGACATGTCAGCAAATAGATGGAGCCAGCGAGAACTTCCCCTAGTCCCACACATCGGAGGAGGGTGGGTTTTCACAAAACTGCCCGAATCCCACCACCTAAGCTAGCATTTCCAGAGTGAGGCTGGGCAAAGCTGGGGCAACCACAACCTCATCCCAGCCCCAGCCCTAGCCCCAGCCCTCAGCCCAGCTCCAAACTCACCCAGTCCCAGCTCTAGTCCCAGCCCCACCCCAGCCCCAGCCCCAGAGTGGAAAAGTGCTTCAGCAGATTCTCATCTTCTGTCCATCAGTCACCAAGCTCTTCACTCTACTTCTTGAGATGACAGACAGTCCCTCCGGCTCCAGCCTGTGCCCTGATTCAGGCCTCCCTCTCCCCCTGCACAGCTGAATCGCCCCCAGAGATGGGGGTGGGGCACTCTGAGGCTGCTGTCCTGCCCCCCTATCTTGTCTGGAGTCTGGGGTCTGCCCTCACACCCTGCGTGGGTTGGCTGCTCCGAGAAGAGCCGCTCTTGGTTTCCTTCAATCATGAAAGCACCAACCTGTGCCAGGCACCTTTGCTACACTTTCTCATTTAGTCCTGGCAACAGTCCTGCCACATAATATGTCTCTTGTACAGGTAAGAAAACCAAGGCTCAGAAAGACTTGCTAACTTGGCTGCCGCTGATGGAAACTAACATGAGCACATCCTGTGAGACCAGGCACTGTGCTCAGGGCATCTCCCTTCAGAGGTACTATTTTGATTTCCATCTTACCTGTGAGCAGCACAGAGAGGTTAAATAGTTTGCCCAATGTCACAGAGCCTAGTAAGAGGCAAAGCCGGTTTTTGAACCCAGATGGTTTGACTCCATGCTCTGAGCTGCAGCCCTGTATTGCTGCTTAGACACGTACCAGCTCTGCTGGTGAGGCCGGGGTTACAACCCACATTTGTCATCATTTCCACTCACCTTAGCTACCCTGGCATTTTTATCAGTGCAGAATGAGAAATAATGAGCTTTTGTTTTGTTATGTTTTTAGAAGTTTACGTGGTGCTTTTAGTCACATAAAACCCCCCCTTTGTTGAATGACAGGATTTCAAACCACAAACCACACACACACACACACACACACACACACACACGGCTTACACATCTATAACCAACGTTTCTGAACTTGAACTCCGCCCTGTGTCACTGCCTCATTCTTTGCGGTCCTTAGTTTTAGCCCATCAAGGATCTTTCAGTAGTTCCAAGCCAGCCCACTAGCCAAGTCTTGCAACTGTTTACGAGCTGGACATGTTGTAAGCAGGTCATATTATTTAAAAAAAAAAAAAAAAAAAAAAAAGGAAAAAAGGGAGCCTGGGTAGCTCGGTCAGTTAAGCATCCAGCTTTTCATTTCGGCTAAGGTCATGATCTCAGGGTTGTGAGATCAAGCCCTGCCTTGGGCTCACTCAACAGGGAGTCTGCTTGAGATTCTCTCTCTCCCTCGCCCCACTAGCTCTCACACTCTCCCTAAGTAAGTAAGTAAGTAAGTAAATAAATAAATAAAATCTTTTTTTTTAATCTTTTTTTTTAAGAAGATGGCTACTCGGCAGGTAGCAAGTGCACTTATTTAATACTTATGTGCACAGGAACCAAGTATTTGACTTTCGATCTCTCATTTAATCCTCACCCCCACCTTATAAAGTGGGTGCCACCCTCCCTCATATTTTACAAATAAAGGAAGGAGGGGTAAGAGAAAAGCAGAAGAGATCTGCAACTTCAGCCTTATAGGAAGGGGCAGTCCCTCATCACACATTTCCTAGCCACACCAGCCCCACTGCTGAGCACAAAGATCAGAGAAATGAGACTCCTTCCTACCCCTTGAGAATCTCACACTCCCAACAGGTGGTTAGCCTACTATACAATGGGACCCCCGCTTAGTCCTCATTTTCTAGAAAGACTGAGTGAGAAAAAGCTATATCCAGTTTTGTCGCTTGGCTGGGGAGAGTCCTCCAAGCAGGAAAGAAAAAGGCAGCGATATTAAAAATTAATGTTTACTTAAAAATTAAAATGTCCTATTTCCCAGCTGTTTATTAAATTTCACTGGCAATTCCAATATGTCCTGGACCCTGACGAAGAAGCCGGGTGACAGCCTGAAAACACAGGCAGTGGGGGGTGGGGAGGAGGGAGAATGAGAATCAGATCAGTTCCCAGATGAACCTGTGCATCAGGGAGTCTTAGCAAAACCATCCACACCACTGCTCCCTGAAAGAAGTGACACAGGGCAGGCCACCCATGTGTCAGAGCTAGTGTTTACTACTGCCAATTGCCAGAGATGTGCAAGATCACAAGGATGGGGCTCTAGAAAGAGGGGAAAGTGCCAAGACAGACTCAGAGCTGCCCAAATGCCTTTGTCCAAGCACAACACCCACCGGGTCAGTGCGTGCAGCTCCATGATGGCCAGAGGCTTCCCACGAGATAAACACACACCTACCTAGGCTATGGGAAGCTTTTAAATTTTACATACTGACTAATGGGTACCTTGTGGTCCCCAAGTGTTGGGTAGAGGAAGTGTTCAAAGTGAGTATTTTGAATATGAATATGACAAAATGTGAATCATGAAGCAGGTCAGAAAAGCTGCGAGGTGCACACTAGGTGTGCATCAGCATGCCAGAGCTGGAGTGACCCAGCAAGGAGCTGATGGCGACAGGAACAAGAATGAGGGCTGCAGAATACAGAGGACATGATGCAGGAAGAGTTTTGGAGGCAGGATTAACAGAACACGTCCATCAGGGAGACTATGGGGTGGGTGGAGGGAAAGGATGAACCAGAGAGATAGGCGGGACTGTGGCATGAGATCGGAACTGAGAACAAGGGAGGGTAGAATGTGGAGATCCAGCTGAGTCATGGAAGTCGTGTGTGCAGAGCTGTCCAGCAGGCACTCAGACCCAAGTCAGGGCTCAGGGAACCTTTGGGCTAATGATGGGAAGGTGGGAGTCACTCTCACACCATGGTGTCTAAGGCCATGGGAATGGATGAGAGCCTCCAGAGACTCCAACAACTGATGGCTGGGAAGCACAAGAGGTGCTTCTGGAGGGGACGGAGAAAGGAGAATGGAGAAGGAGGAGGGAAATCCAGAGGACGCTTTGTCACAGAAGCTAAGAGATCTCGCTGTGGAAACGTGTGCACAATACGCTGCAACATGTTATAGGTCGTTTCCAGGAAGAGAGACACTTAGAGAAATGTATTTATTTGTTCATGAAGTCATTCACTGAATCCTTCGTTTAGGCAGGAAATATACTTTGGTGCCCTGGAAGGCTTAAATTTGGTGCCTCTTCAAACTGATATTCCTTACACACCCGCTCGCCATCTGTTTGGAGGAGACGCTGATTCATGCATGGGGCAGAGCAGAGTCACAGCTGGTGGCCACAATATGTCTCTCCCTTTGTCTCTGGTAACTCAGCCTTCACCCTGCCTCCCACGTCCCACACAGTGAGCAGAAATGCCACAGCAGAAGAACACCATCCTCCTTAGAAGGGGACTTGGTGACTATCTCTGGCTCACCTAGCCCATGGAGCCTCGTGGAGGTCCCTACCCTCCCCAACACACATGCCTAAGGGGCTTAACAAGGCACCACTGCTTCCATATTCTTGCATTTCCAGTAAGGGTTTAGCGTCTCACAGATAGCTGCCCTGCTGCCCAGCTCACAGAATGACATACGTGGGGGCCAAAATTCCCATCCTTCCACATTACCCCCAAACAAAAAGAGAGCTTGCCAGAACATAACCCAGTCTTTCCAGAGCTCAAACCCCTCCCACTGGAATAGCCTCTCCTGATCCTTCTCTAAGGGTCTTCCTGCCCCCCTCTCAGACTTCTCTTCCTTCACCAGCCTTTTAAATGTTGATATGACAGAATGTGGTTCTAGCCTTCTACTTGGGTGGCCCCCTCCAGGCCTATAGGTCCCACTGCCATCCACATGTCTACCACACGTCTTCCACTGAGTTCATGGGCACTGCCATAGACTGACTGTTTCCCCCACCACCCTGGAATTCACTGAAACCCAATTCCCAGTGTGATGACATCTGGAAGTGGGGCCTTTGGGAAGTGCTTGGTTCATGACGGTGGAGGCCTCAAGAATGGGATTGGTGCTCTCAGGAAAGAGCTCCCAGAGAGCCCTCTCGCCCCTTCTGTCGCCGTGTGAGGACAGAGGATGGCTGTCTACAACTCTGGAAGTGGGCTCACACCAATCACCAAAGCTGCTGGGGTTTTGATCTTGGACTTCCCAGCCTCTAGAACTGTGAGAAGTACATTTCTGTTGTTTATAGCAGCCTGCACAGACTAAGACAGGCACCCTGTGAATCTCAGTCCCCATGCCCAGCAGGTACCTGAATCCAAACGTCTCTAGTAGAGCTCATCACCTACCCCCACTCCTAGTCCTGGCTGTCATCCTCCTATCGTGCTCAACACCACCACCACCCACCAGTCTCTCAGGTGTCACGGTCATCTTGGACAGCTCCTGCCTCCTTACTCCCGCATCCATGTTGTGTTAAGTTGGACTGACCACAACTCCTTCCCAATTCTGGCAAATTCTCCCTGCACATCTCCTGGCCCGAAGACTACGAACTTCTTAAGTATAACCATATTGACTGGTTTCTCCTATCTCCTGTGCCTAACACTACATCTAGCACAGTATTTTTTACCACAATCTACAGTGAGAAATGCATTTTATATCACAACCAAACAAATACGCATACATAAGGAAACAATAATTCAACCTCACAATACTTAACCTTACTTCTACCTCATGTGATGCCTCCTGATTTTCTATTTGATTTCAATTCTTTAAAAAAAAAAAAAAAAAAAAAAAAACAACTCATTTTAACCCATTAAACTAGTTTCTGAACACATTAATGGACTGTTGACTGGTAATTTGAAAAATACCAGCCGGTATATCATAGGTATTTGATAAACATTTGTTGTATGTTCGCTTAGTGAATGCATGCATGGCCTTATGAGATCTTTCATCATCACCGCCAATTTTCAGATGAGTTAGCTGAATCTCAAGAGAGAATTTTCTTGCTCTGCTCCAGATGCCGCGGCTTTCCACAATACCCCGTGGCCAGCGAGACCCCCTCCAGCCCCACTATTCTGTGATTCGCCTGCTGCCTTTGGACACCCGCTGCCAGAACTGCTGTGTCGTTGCTCAAGCATCTGAGTCAAAACACCCAGACCCTCAGTTTCTCATCTAATCTATGGTGAAAGTCTGATGGATGCCAAGACTCCGTATCCCCAATCAGGAATATTCTCAATGGCACTCTTGCCTCCCGCCACCTCTGATGGGAGCTCGTGGATTTACTGAACCCAGGGAGGGGGTGGGGGATGCCTCCTTTCTTACTGTGGGTTAAACCAGTCTGATAGCTGAAGCTCTCCGTTGTTTTCCTCTCGTTCATCTTCATCTGTGTCCTCCACTTCTTTGTAAATGCGGGTCCTACGTACAAAGGGAAAGCAAGCCGAGTAAGGCAGGAGGCCAATCTATGGGGCTGGGACAGCTAGTGAACGTGAGCACGCCTTCCCAGGTGGAGAACGTGTGTGGCGAGGGGGTGTCTGGAGAAAGCTTCACGACACACGATACGTTTGTGCATAAACACATGCTTCTGGTGGAAAGGCTCAGTACCCACCTTTCTTATTTTCCTTCCAGGTCTGCACAGTTACCAGTTTAGTGACCCAGGACCCTCAGGTTATTTCAGGTAACTTGCTGGACTAATAAACAGCTAACTGAATTAGCTTCAAGCATCTTTCCCACAGCCTAAACATCAGCCCAAGCCCCACTCACCCCCAAGTTAAATAGAAAAACTAAACCAAACCCCCAAAGTTAAATATCCGAGTCCCAACCATGAAACAGATTCCTTGTATGACTTCAACAGGGCCAGAAAGACGAGTGACCGAGGAGGTCACGACCATGAAGCCATTTCATTCGGACTCTCTATAAGCATTGGGCGGATGGACAAACACAGAGGGTCCTCCCATCATCTTACCCATTATTAAACCAGCTCGGAAACCACCAGTGCTTCTGATTTATGCTGTTACCAACTTCTGGGTTTCTAAGAAATAAGAAAGATGACAATTTTAGAAAATGAGGCAGTCCCAAACGGGGCTCGTAGGGGGAGGGTTTCCAAACTCCTTTTATGGCAGAAAATCACTTAATTTCTTAAAACAAAACTGCCAGTTCATAAAACAGACAAAAGTGACGCTACCCTATCCTGGGAGATATACAGGGGTGCTGAATCACTCTGCTGTACACCTGAAACTAAGATAACACTGTATGTAACAAACTGGAATTAAAATGAAAACCTAAAAAAAAAGTGAAGCTGCTCTAGCCAAACAGGGGAAGATAGACCCACCCCTGCCCAACCTCTCCTCCCTTGGGCAGCCCCCCTGCACTCAGCTCAACTAGGGGACACTAGCAGGGACAGAGGAGAGAAGGGGGTGGTGCAAGGTGGGAGGGGGGCACTGATAGGTAAACCTGAGTCATGGATATCCCACTTACTGGTAGTACGACCATGATGGGACCTTTTCCCTCTCTGAATCTTGGTTTTCTCCTCTGAAAAGTCAGATATATAATAACCATGGTGACAATCATGGTAATAAACCTACCATGAAGGTAGCGTTGAAACGTGAACGAAATCACATATAGCAGAGAGCTTTATTACAAGTTGAAAATTACTAGAACGCATTGTAAATCTTAACACACACACACACAAAATAAAAATGCATATTTTTCCAAGAATGATCTCTTCCGCTAAAGCAGAGTTCAGGTTGCTACCAAGGTCAGCAGGGACAGCCTCAGGAAGCTGTCTGTCATCAGAAGCCACCCTCGCCACCCACACGTGGAAATTTCCATCCTCTCTCATTGTGAGAGTCTCTCCAAGACGGGGGCTTTCTGGAGGAGGGAAAAGAGCAAAAGCGGGAAGGCAGGGGCTGCAGTGCCCTGTGGCTGGAAAAGGCCTAATAATAGGAAGAAACCTGTTTTAAAGCCCATCTACGTTCCGGAGGTGTTTCAGATGATGGATAATTTAGGCGTGGTTGCCATACCACAGGGAGACCACATACGACTTAAACAAAAGGGAACAGAAAGAGAAATATTTCTTTAGTCGCCCAGGTAGCTGTTTTCATTTGATCTTGGTCATCCCAGCTACTCATGAGAATAAAGGTTTTCACCTTTATGTTCACTTCATAGCTGAGAATTTGGCCCCATGGGTTTGGGCCAAGTGCTAAGATCCCACAGAACGTGAGCATAAAAGCCAGGATTTGACACCAGGGAAAGAATGATATCAGAAATGAAAGCCGAGGAAAGTACAAGCAGTTAAGCGCAAGATTTTACCCTGAGCCTCCTGGCAATCAAGCCAAAGATAGAAAAATGAAGGCTTACATAGTTCTCGCTGCCTTCAGTAACAATAATAATAATGATAATAATAATAAAAACATTAGTTTGTCAGGAGAACCTACTTTTTTTCCTGATCCTTTGTCTCAAAGGAATTTCTTACAAGGTCTTTGTATAACATATACTGGGCAGCATAATGGAGAATACCTGTCCTGATTATTTTCATCAGCAAGGGGGAATGTTCTCCAAGTGATACCACTTAAAGAAACCCTTGATGAGAAGCAAGGGCAAAATACAAGTCACAGCTGGATAAAGGCCAATCTAGGGAATGGGAGGTGGGTAGTCCACATCCCTGGGAAACCACTCTTCACCTCCCCCACCACCCCCATGGAGCCCTTGACCATGGTTCTACCCCACCCCCCAGCCCGCTGCCATGCTAAAAATTGACTGTAGGGGGTGCCAGACTGGACATGGGAGACCTCCCATAAACCTGTAGAATTGAGAGCACTTACTTTGAATGATATATCCACAAGAAAGAGCCTTCTGGGCTGAAAGCAAATGAGAAATAAAAACATATCACGTTACTTTTAATTCAGAGAAAAGTGATTTTGCAGCCATTAACAGCGAAGCCCTGGGCTGAGCTGAAAGCCTGGGTTTTGATTACTCCTAGGTTTCTACTGGGACTGGAAATATTCACTTATAGTCACGTCAGGGTTATTCAGAACAAGAGGTGGGAAAGAGGTCACTGGAAAATCTCAAACCTTAACTGAAAAAAAAAAACCCAAAAAACATAAGTAACTATAAGCACTTAACCGGAAGACCCAGAAGGCTTCCTGGAAGAGGGGGAATGTTTTAGCTGGGATCTGAAGAATAAATGGAGTCCAGGTGAAGGGGAAGAAGGAAGAGTGTTCCAGACAGAGGGAAAACCATGCAAAAGACTTGAGGAGAAAAGGAGTCATTAAAATGTGCAAGGAAGTGGAAGAGAAGTAGCCAGAGGCCAGACCTTGCTGGGACCTACTGGGATTTAGCCCTTGAAGGGTTTTAAGCAAAGGAGGGACAGGGTGTTACATGCAACTGAAGAAGGTCACCAGAAAACAGAGTGCAGGGGTGTAAGAGTGAATGTGGGTGACCAGTTCGGAAGTGATGGCCATTGCCCAGGCATGACTCAGGGTAGCTGAGGATGTGGAGGGGAGGAAGCTCACTGACTTGAGAGGCATTTGGGGGGGAACAGTGACAGAAATTGTCACATGCGTTACTCCACTGCTCTGCGCAGGGACGCTGTGCCCCAGTACTAAGCCTTGCTTGGCCCCTTTTCCTCTCTGAATAAAGGGAGGACAGCCTCGTAGGAAGAGTTCAGGCACCTCCCTTGACTCATCCCCTGCCTGGCCCCAGCTCCCTCATCCCTGAAAAACACAAATGACTCACAGTTGTTGCAGACTCTGCCAACGCCCCTTAGCCTCTTATCCCCTCCCTCTGCCTTCTCCCCCTGTTGGGTATCAGCACTTCCTTGTAGGAAAAAAAAATTCAGGCTCTCTCACTGCCTGCCAATGGTTTCCTCCTCTAAGCCCAGGACTCATGGACCACACTCTAAAATTTCTTGTTCCTCTACTGATTCTGACAATATTCATAATAGCGAATGCTTGGCCAGCCACTGTTCAGCATATGTCTAAGCAAATGATATATATTAGCTCACTGAACCCTCACAACAACCCAACAAGTAGGTTCTACTCTTCCTCATTCTACGGAGGTGGAAACCAAGGCACAGAAGCATTAGGTGATCTGCCCAAAGCCATACTGCTAGTGAGGAGTAGAGCCGGTATTTGAACCTGGAGAATCCAACTCCAGATGCTACAAGAGGTGGAAGGGGGAGGGGAATGAGGATGGGACCTACCTCTCAGGTGGCCACCTGGCACTCAGGGCACCAATTTCTAAATTCAGCTTTGCTACCCTCTCACTTCTCTTGACTAACCTCTCCTTCTTCTCCTCCTCACCCTCCTCTCTCAGAATCTTTCAGCATCTCAACAGTCACCGTGATACCCACGATGCATATATGATATTTCCCACATATTCATCCTTCAAGGCACAGCTCAAATGCCATCTCTTCTGTGCCCTTCTTGATACGATCCCAGCATAGAGCCTGGCACCTAGTAGGTGCTCAATAAACAGTTGTAAATCAATGAAAAAAATAGATTCCCCCTCCAAGCCAAACATAATCAATCTTAGCCTCCTTAACTCTGCCAGTTCCTTACCCTGAGAGTCTTTCTCTACTTCTAGCGTCTTCCTGCTCCATCTTGACCATAACCCCTTGAGTGCAGTCAGTTGATGTGTTCCATTTAGTTATGTCAAAATCCTTTTTAAGCTCAGTGCTGTGCACCTGTCTCAGGTTAGGGCCCTCAGCTCCCCCCAAGCCATCAAATGGCCAATTCACGAGGTGGCAAAGGATCTGCTGCTCTTTACGCCTCTTGCAGACCCTCATTAGATTGCTCACACTGGAGGATGATGTGCCCAGAGTCTGGGTGCCAAATCCTGGTCCCAAAGAGCAGCCAGAACCTGCTCTAGTTACTGTTTAGCCAGTGCCCAGCACTATAAAATAACCCTGTTTATGGGAGGTTGGTGCCAAAATGCACACTGGGGCTTTTGGCTCCCACATTTTAATTTTGCAAGCTGCCCAAAATATGGAAGTACAACTCTGGCTCAGACTCAAAACAGCAAGCTTAAACAAACAAGCACTCAGAGCCTGCGGGCTATCTGCACAAGCATCGTGACTCAGGGCAGGGACCCCACGGAGTGCTTGTTCTGCGGGGAGTCTTCCAGCTGCTAAAGCTCTTTCTTCTATTTGTCAAATCCCCGGGTCCTATTCTGCCCTCTGGAGCCGATATGATGACGACGATGATGGCAGTTAGCAGTTACTGAGTGCTTATTAAGTCCCAGGCATTGCCCTAAATGTTTTATATACAATGACTTATTTAATCCTCCCCACAATGTGCCTATGAGGCAGGTACTATTATCACCCATTTTTAAAGAGAAGGAAACTGACGAACAGAGTTGCTGAGTAACGTGCCTGGGGTCACAGAGGTGGTACATGGTGGCAGAGGACCAGTTCCAGACAACGTAGCTCCAGACTCCTCTGCCCTTGAGTACCCAAGGGATCCCAAGCTCCCTGCACTCAACTCTGAATCCACTCATCTTAGGACTAAGTACCCCCAGCTCCCTCAATTCGAAAGCTGTGGGTGTAGACCCCTTGAACTTGATCACACTCTAGCTTGTCTTGATTTTATGAAAACAAGCTGTTCAGAGTAATGCTCCACAAAGGGTTAGATCTACGCTGTACTCTGGGGAATAACAGCTCCATATACTGGGGAGTCCTCCTCCTACTGATGTTCTTAAAGGCACAGGTCCTTTTTTAGTAGCCAAGATGGTCCTGCTGGCTCATCAAATCTTAGGATTTCAGAATTAAAAGAATTCAAATGTTAATCCAGGCTGTCATCGTTGACTTGGGGGCTACTAAAGCACTCCACCATGAAAATAGCAGTCATCATGCCAACATAGCTCTCCCTGCCCATAGCTGCATGGTGGACTTTTTGGATCAAGACGGAGCTGTCCCGGTGAAGTCAAAGGCATCCTGCATACTTGCAGCTGTTTGCAGAGACTTCTTTCTGTTAGGAGTCTCTCCAGCTGGAACCTCTGAGACCATTTATTTTCCCAAAGCACAGAAGCACGTACATTTGGGATAAATCCATGGATGAATGTGAAAACCCAGAAATGTTTAATTCATTTTGCTTTCCAGAGTTAACAAAACAAAACTCCCCCAGTGTTGCAGCCAGGCACAAATGAATCACCCGCCACTCGGAGTGGATTTTATGGCAAAAGTCAACAACTCTGAGCTGCTCCTTTAAGCCCTGAAAATATTTTAGAATTGCAAAATTCAGGGTGCAATTCTCATGAAATTCCTGTCTGAAATTTCTTAAGGTAATTCCTACAGCTCATTGTACAAATCATCTAAAGTCACATTTTGGGTTTACAACGGCCTTGCTGTTTCTGGATATAGCCTACCCGGAATGGCAAGGTTATAAAAAATCAGGACATTCGGATTGTAGCAGGAAGGAAGAGAATTTTGCTCCAAGGTACTTGGAGATTTAATGATTTTAAATATAGTCCAGGGCTTGGGATACAGGAAGGGTGGAATCTGCCTTTCATTGTTTCAGTTAATCTCCATTTCAATTTCAACCTGGTGACTTGGCTGATAACTAAGAGATTCAAGTCAAAGGTGGACACCGCACTCCCCAGTTACCTGTGGATATATTCCCAAAACACAACAATCACAGTGGAGACAACCAGCATTGACAGAATCACTTTTCCTTTGACATTCATTATTTTCTCCTGGGGAAACAAAAAAGGAGAAAGGAAGAAATGGATTAAATAAATGCAAGGTGAGATACGGTTTCTAAGCAAGGCTTCCACCCTCTAAGGGGAAATGTTCATAAATATTTAACTAGAGCTAAGAAGTGTGTTCTACCTTAAATTGAGCAGGCTTGCAATGGCAGATTGGGCTCCCTTAATGAATTGACTTACTTAATGAATTCCCATTGGGGAAGGAGCCGAAGGCCACTTTGGCGCTCAGAGTGGGAGTGTACTCTCTGACCACAGGGTCCGCCATGGACTTGAGTGGGTGAGGGCGTAGCTATAAATGGTTCCCATGGGCTCCAGCTGCCTCCTGACTTCGATTGTGGGGAATCATCCCTTCCCTGGCTCTCTGCTGCCTTTGATACACTGACCACATGCCCCATCCTCAGGACGACCCTGGTCCCTTAAAGTCTAGGCTCACCCACTTCTCAGCCCCACCTAGCTTTTCCCCACCATGCCCACAGGCAATCAATCAATCAATCCATCGGCACACGATAGGTACATAAATATGTCTTGACTGCTGCATGAAGTTGTGGTTGAAGAGAGACAGGGTGCTGGATGGGGAATAACAGATTAGAAGTACTTTAATTCCGGAGGTCAGGGAAGGCCTCTCACTGGGGAGGTGACAGAGCTTCCCAAGGAATGAAGACAGGGTGCAAAAGGATAACAAGTACAAGAAAAGTCCTACAGTTGGGAGCGAACAGATCTACATTGGGACTGTGGCCACCTCTCACGATGAGGAGATGTCTTCACTCCCAGAGAAATGTGGATCTGGGGGCCAGCATGAACGCATATGAGCTGGGGAGCCGTGACCTTGGGGTAGGTCCTCGGGTCCTCATGCATAGCTCCAAAAACCTCTGAGAACCAAAAAAGTCTTTTTTTTTTTAAGATTTTATTTATTTATTTGACAGAGAGAGAAAGAGAGATCACAAGTAAGCAGAGAGGCAGGCAGAGAGAGAGGGGGAAGCAGGCTCCCTGCTGAGCAGAGAGCCCGATGCGGGACTCGATCCCAGGATACTGGGATCATGACCTGAGCCGAAGGCAGAGGCTTAACCCATTGCGCCACCCAGGTGCCCCAAATCAAAAGTCTTTTTATAATTCCACTGGCCTCAGGGCCCTAACTGACAGGAGGCTCTCTATAATCTTTATCCCACTTAGTGAGGCTGTTTAAATGTTCCTTTCCACCAACATTCAAGTATTTTATTAAGTGACGCTCATGTACTGGGGCGTCGCCTAATACGTGACATATTATCCACGCCCCGAAAATTCTGAATGCCAACATATTTGGCCCTGGAGTTTCAGTAAAGGGATTGTGGCTCTCTAATTGAATTGGTTTCCTCATCTTTTAAAATGGGGATGAAGGGTGCCTGGGTGGCTCAGTCGTTAAGCCTTTGCCTTCGGCTCAGGTCATGATCCTAGGGTCCCGGGATTGAGTCCTGTGTTGGGCTCCCTGCTCAGCGGGAAGCCTGCTTCTCCTTCTCCCACTCCCCCTGCTTGTGTTCCCTCTCTTGCTGTCTCTCTCTCTCTCTCTGTCAAATAAATAAATAAAATCTTATTAAAAAATAAAATAATAAAATAAAATGGGGATGAAAATGGTGATGACAAGAGACGGAGTCCACAAAATGCTTCTCCCTGTGACTGGCACTGTAGAGATGCTCTCCCAAAATGCTAGTTCATAAAATGGGCCTTTGGGAGGCTCCAGTGAGACCAGGGGCCATGCCTGGTACTTAGCAAGAGTTCAAAACAAATGTGAAGAGAAAGCGTAAGACTATGTTATTAAACAACGAAGTGCAAATAGATGCTAATGAGGGACCCTAAAGGTTTCTCTATCTGTTCCAAGCCACAACCTGAGGAAGAGCTCCTTGGACGTGGGATGCAAGTGGGATGACACTGACCAAGCCCAAGCCAGGGGCCCTGCTACCGACACCCCGCGTGTGCGGAGGAGGTGACCACACTGCCACGAGCACCCAGAGCTCCACCAGCCCCTCCTGCTGAGGAGCCCATGCTGACTGTTTCCCGGTATAAGAAACACCCACACTCTCGGGGTGCAGAAGGATTGCTGACACTTAACCCCGGGCAGCGTCCCAATCAGACACACCTCCCCCTCGCCTCTCCAAATATGCGCAGGCTGTTTGAATCCAGAAGCTAGCATCAGAGGCAACTCTGGAAGCCCGTGGCTTTCTGGACTTCACAGACGGCTTGAACCTGATCATGGCCAGTCATCACTCTTGCTGGAGACTTACAACCAGAAGCTTCGCCTGGGAGCCAATACTGTGTTCTTCAGCGAGGCACTTGAAATGGGTGTATCTGTGCTTTCTGGAATTTGGGATCCAAGGCCCCGGGGGAAGGGAGGCTTGGCAGGGTAGCCATCTCATCTTCTAAGACATTTTAATTTTTCTCTCTGGACCAAAATTAGGCCTTTGGCAGTTGATGTGGTCTACGAGTCCTTCTCTTGGGTTTCTGTCTCAGAATTTTCAGAACTGGATAATTCTGAAAATTGGTGGTTGCCTCTCTTCCCCATCAAGATAGAAATGTGGGATTGCTTCTGAATTCCTTCATTTAAGGGGTAGAGGACAGAACTGGGCTGAAAATTGCCACCCTGTCTCATGTGGGGAAATGGGACTCCAGGCCACCCTATGGAAGATTCAACCAGGTCCAGTTCCACCGAATCCCCCCACCATCTCCCAGGCCTTCTTGTCACACTTGTGATTTTTCCCCCAAAATGCTTCCAACCCCGCACACCGGCTGCCCCTGGGCTCCTCGTAGAGCATGGCCCTCACAACAGTTTCCACGTGACGTGTCAGATGGATTTCTCCATGTGGCCCATAAATTAATTCTTCCCTATCACCCCCACCCTGTCCCAACACAGAACAACACACACACACACACACACCCTTTCGGAGAATCTCCGGAGTTCCACCCCACTGGGGCTAAGTCAAGGTATTCCTTCTAACCTGAATTCTTCTCTGAAAGGAATTCTGGTGGACCATGTTTTCTCCATCTTGTCAAGGGGTGAACGTCTCAGCTGATTAACCGAGCACTCAGAAACTCTGGAAAAGCCATTATCTCGGGAGCACAGGAACTGGGCAGAGGGAAACCAGACCTTCCCACAGGCTAAAGAGCCTCCCCTCTGCCTCTGATCCCTCCCCCAAACCGGGGGAGCCAGCGGCACGCTCCCCATGAGGCTGACCCCTGCTAGTCTTAAGTCACTTCTGGACTATTGCGTTCAACGAAGAGACTCCAAAAGGCTACAGGTTAGGTAGTGACAAGCGTTGCAAACTAGAACAAAGCAGGTGAGAGGGCAGGGGAGGGCAGAGGAACCAACTGGGTGCTCATGACCTTGGGCAAAACCCTCTTGAATCCTCCACATCTGCCACTGTAATGTGTAGACCCAGCACTCCAGGTGGAAACTAGGCCAGCAGGAAGACTCTGGAATCAGCGCTCCTGGACGCATGCCTTGAGCAAGTACTCAGAGCCTCTATTTGCATGTACAAAATGGAGCTTTAAACTTCCTCCTCCAGGGTTCCTGAGAAAGGACTGAAGGGGACAGTGTCTATGTAGCAAACACGCCGCAAATGGCAGCCATCATGATAAGGACGCTGTTCCACGGGAGAGTTTCTGCATTTGTGGCTCTGAAGTAGAGCTCTGACTTTATCTGAGAGAGGAGTCTGGGTCCTCGGAGGCTGCACCATACAGAAGAGTCAGGGGGAACCCACCCCCATCCCAATAGATGACTGAGGCTCAGGACCCCCGGTTCAGGACCCAGCTACTCAGCATGGTGCCCCCCATCCCCGCCCGGTGCTCAAGGCGGGCGGGCCAGGAAGGTGAGGGCTAGAAGTCTCACTCTACAAGGGCAGCTCACGTAGACACACAGGGAGCTCCTGCTGCCATGGCCTAGGGGGATTCTTTGCGTGACAACAGAATGGTGGCGGCACCAGCCAGCATGTGCTGAGCACAGAGGCTGACTTAACCAGAAACTAATGAAGCTAGTCCTCCTTGCAAGCCAGGGCCAGATCATCAGGGTGGGGAGTGGGTCAGGAAGGCCTGTACGTTGCCTGAGGCAAGGAGTGCTGCCCCTATCTGGGGGATGGTTCCAGCCTTGAGCATTGTCTTGGGGCTGCAGGTGGGGCCGAGTGACTGATCCCACTCCCCACATGCCCACCTGGGTCCCAGTAACAGCCTGCCCCAGGTGGACCTGGTTGAGCACCCAGGAGCTGCCCACTTGAGGAAGGACTTTACCCAGATGCTGCTCTGCGCCCTGCCCAGGGGTCACAGTGATCCAGGTTTCATAGCCACCTCGTACCCCATCCCTAACCCCTCCAGGGTCAAAGAGCTGGGTCCTCTGAGGGAGAAACAGCCAAGAGATGTACAGATGTGGCACCACTAGGTTGTGAAGCTCTAAGAAACATTTCTAAATACTCAGTAACAAAAAGTAATGTTGGGTAGCCGTGCCAGAGGCCAAATGGATTTGTTCTTTGTCTCGATCGAAAATGATACTGCAAAATCGTTGTCAGATAAAGAGGCAATCCAAGACTATGCAGACTATGACAGATGCATTAGGCAGCTAAGGAGACTAATTAGTCTTCCTATGATTTTCACATCATTTTATTATGATGTCCTTTCCTGGATTTAGTCCTATTTGAAGTATTTGTCAGTGTTATTTGCTATGTTATCTCTTCTTGTATTCTAATCTTCATTTCCATGCTAATACTGTACTTGCAACTCTGAGTTCTTTTTCTTGAAGAAGACTCTGAAAATGAAAGAAGCTCCAGGCCCTTCAACACTTGGATGCTCGCCTGCTGAACTAGGCCAGGCCCTGGGCCAAAAGTTTTACCAGCAGTCTCTCAGATGCATCTCACAACGACCCTGTGAAATCACTCTAGCAGCATCCCCATTTTAAAGATAGGAAAATGGAGGCTCGGAAAGGTTAAGTAACTTGCCCATTGTCACACAGCACAAAGTGGCAAAGATGCGATTCAGGCCCAGGGAGTTGGGCTTCAGTGTCCACCCTTTTAACCCTCTTTTCTCAAAAAGCATGAAGGCTTATCCATGAACTGATCACCTGGGGCTCTCTGACACATCCTCTCATCTTGTCTCTCTTGATAATCACACGATAATCACTTGGGTCACAAGGGACCCAGAGCTGGCTACTCACAGGCTGGACTCCCTGAGGGGCTGGCTTCTCCTGGGACCAGCCGGTGAGCACTGGCTGGACAGCGCTGCCATTTCTAAGTTCCTCCCGTGTGCCCGGTTGGGTCCTTCCTCACCCGCTCTACCTCATTCGTCCCTCATCGTGGTCAGAGTAGCGGCTTCTAGCTGAGCAAACAGCTTTAACACAGACTGAGGTCACTGCGCTCATCCAGAAGGGGGAGTCTGAAAAGCAGCCCCCCTGTCTCCCAGGCCCTGCTCTCAGTAGAGGAGGCTGCCTGGGGGTGAGGAGGGGAGAGGGCCCCTTGATCTGAAAACCCCGCTGCAATGGTGAGTGTTACACGGAAATGTTCCCCATTGGAAGAAACATGGGACAATCTGTGGGGGGAAAAAAAAAAAGCTTACAGAAGGCTGTTTCCAGTGATGTTTTCCATTATGAGGCTCAGAGTAAACACAGGCAGAGGAAATGAAGAGCCAGGTCTCAGACTAAACACAGGACTAATTGTCGCTCCAGCCACCACAAACGGAACAACCTGTTCCCTGAGGTACCTCTTGTGGTGCCTTTTCCTGAATCCCCTTCAGGAACTCTTAAGGCCTGGATCCAGCAAGCCTGTCCCTGCCGCCTGGCCCAGGAGTTGCCATGCCAGGGTTTTCCCAAGAGCAATATGGCAAATGAAGTGTGCAGTGCCGTGGGAGGGCTCTGGTTCTACCCACAACGCCGGCCCCGGGCCCTCCGGCCTCTGCACAGCCCTTGGAATCCTAGAGAGAAAAGCCTAGGCCGCAGCCACGCCAGCCAGCCAGCCCCTGGGGAAGCAAAATAAAGAGCTTGCAGTGAATCCCTGAGCCAGCGTCCCACGGCTCCAGCTTCTAGAGCAGGGAGGGAAGACTCTATCTTCTTCTGGGACTGCTGAGGGCACCAGCAAGAGGTCAAGGGGAGAGCAAGTTTCCTCCCCCAGGTGGGTCCATGCCTCGGAGCCTGCTCGCACCTTCCCCAGTGACCCCAACAAGGCAGAAGCAAATAATTTCAACATTTCACATACCTCATCGTCCGCTTCTCTCCCCGCAGAGTAAAAGGCAAAACAACAAAGTTCTACTGAGCTCCGCTCTGCAGAAGGAGGCAGGGCTGGGAGGAAGGGAAGGTGCAGCCTTCCAACTCCTGTCAAAAGAATAAACAGCCGTTTCAGGAAGAGCGGGTAGACGGATCCGCAGCAGCCAGGGGCTTTGTTCCTTGCTGGCCCCGGGAAATGGGCTGTTTATCAGGCCTCGACTCAGAGCTACATGCCAAGGCAGAGATGTTTCTCTTTGGGCCCACGAGTGGCCGGGCCTCCCTCACCCAGTGAAACTACAGGCCCAAACTAGGCCTAGTGTTGGAGGATAGAAGGCCACCACCTTGAGAGTGACCCGCAGGCTGCCCACATCGCCCACTCCTTGGCAAAAATGGGAACGGTTCTGAGCCCAGAAGTCCCCAAGTGACTACTATACTGAAGAGCCAATGGAGGGGTTAAAAAAAAAAAAAATGCAGGGGTGGGTGGGCAAGGGGGAGAGTCCTCAACACTCTTGTCGAAATGCTACCTAGATGTTCCTCAAGGTTAAGCCTCTCCTCCACATCTTTTGAACTTCGGAAGTTGTTTCGTTTGAACGCTATTTTTGCAGAATGTTATGAGATCTCCCGCATCGAAAACCGAGCTATAAGAACTTTAAAAGGTCACTGAGGCCCAACCCTGCTCTTTGGCTGAATAATGCTTAACCCTTCCTACACCCACCTCCTGCTCCCAAAATAGAACTTTCCAGCTGGAAAGGACCTTAGTGCAGTGGATTTTCAAACACTGAAACAGCTCAAACTTTTATTAAAAAAAAACAACAACAAAAAGCCCACAGGAAGTCCTTCTCAGAACCCCGCTATGCAAAACAGTACACAGAGTGCTTTGGCTGAGGCTGGGAAATGAAGCTCAGAGCCCCCACATCCCCATCCCCGCCCCAAGCTCCCCCCCTCTCCATCCCAACCCTCCCAAGGGGCCCCACATGCCTCCTGGGAGGACATTCTGGAAACCCCAGACTTGGGAGAGGGGACCAAAGTCCAGGAGTCCTGTCAAGTCCAGCCTCTTACTGCTGCTCTGAACCAAATTTCACACCCCCTCCTCTGGGGGCATGAGCTGGTTGGCCACAGTGTTTAGGGTCTGGAAGTCCCAAGAACGTGCTTGTGAACAAAGGTGTGCCTTGCAACCCAGTCATCGTGCTCTAGATCTGGATGCAAAAGAAAAGGCCCGTAAGCTCACCAAGAGACACGGGACCGGAACGTTCATAGCGCAGCAAAAACTGGAAACGACCCCAAAGCCCATTCTCAGAGCAGCTCAGTCCCCTCCTAGAGTACGATTCCGCACACCATGGTGAGAACAAGCCAGCTGCAGCTGTTAAGACCGACGGGGTGACTCCCACACACGGAATGCCCAGAGAAAGGAGCCCTGGGTGAATTCATTTATTTAAAGTTCAAGAACAGGCAAAACCAACCTGTGGTACTAGAAGTTAAGGACCGGGGTGGCTGAGGTCGGAAGGGGCCCAGAGGAGGTCCTGTGGGGCTGGTCCTGTTGCTTCTTGGGCTGGATAGTGGTTACACAGGTGTGGCCACTTCATGAAACTTTGTCATGAATGTGCCTTTTCCATTTACCTTACTGAGCACCACTGAGCTCCCTACTAGGGTCCAGGGATGATCTACTGCTTCAACGATCCAGAAACCTGGAGCCATGGTCAATGCAAACAGGAAAGATCGCAGAGGCTGGAGGCTAAGATAAACTGGTCCCTTTCCACACGCAAGCACCTCTCACAGGCACCCCCTTCTCAGATGACAAGGCAGTCCCTCCTGGTGATCCTCAGAATCACCAACAGAGTGGTCAGAACAGAAGGAGGCTCTGGGAGCCTCCGGGATTTGCTCAAGGTCCCCAGCTGGTGAGTCCGGGGCTGCTCTTTCTCCCCTGGCAGCCTCCAGGAGATGCTCTTCAGGCCGTGGGGTTAATGGGCTCCACGCTGGCTAATAGCAGCTAGACTCAGCCTGGAAGGCAGAAAATTCAGCTCTTAAGGATCCGGCACGGTCTTCCTCCTTCCCTGATCTATGGTCATGCTCAGACTCTCAAAACAAAGGAGCACACACTTGTGGTCACTCCTGAATTGAGAAGCAAAAAAAACAGCAAATGAGCCTCGGGCCATACAGCTGTGCTGATCGAAGGAGGCCAGAGGCCACCCAGGGAAGAGCTCAGACTGGGCCTGGCCGGGGTGCCTCATCTCATCATTCGTCGTGACTAGGGCCCATCTGGTCCTGGCCGCCCATGGATCTAGGAGCTAGCAGCGAGCATGCAGTAGCTGTCCACCGGCCACACCTCAAGGCAGAAGACAGCGGGGCCTCAGAGTTATGGCCAAGGTGACTGCAGCCCAGGTGTGGAAGGCCTGGCCCAGCACCCAAGACAACTTCTGGCTGGGAAAAATGAAGGTCAAGATCCCACCCTGATTATCTCTGCAGAGGAATGAGGATTAAGCATCCGTGACAACCCTACAGACCACATGTTTGCAAGCTGGCGGTGTTCCTTCAGGGCAGTCACAAAAGACATTCTCGCTTGGGAGTGACACAGCAAACTGGGTTACATGAAGTACATTCTCCTTCAGCTTTGCTTAAGTGTCACCTCATTGGGAAAAACCTCCTGGATTTAGAATGACTTTCTTTTTGTAGGTTCCTTATTTATCTTTTCTTTTTTTAAAGATTTTATTTATTTATTTGACAGAGAGAAAGAGAGCACAAGCAGAGAGAGAAGGAGAAGCAAAGCAGACTCCCCACTGAGCAGTGAGCCTGATGCGAGGATCCACCCCAGGACCCTGGGATCATGACCGGAGCTGAAGGCTGACGCTTAACCCACTGAGCCACCCAGTCGCCCCCTTGTTTTTCTTTTAAGTATCTTTCTGCTTCTACCAGAACGTAAACTCTGTGGGCAGATACTTTCATCCGTTTTGTACCAAAGTGAAACAACAGCTGATGCTCCATGCATCTCGTGGGCTACGCCGCATGCGTAGCACAGGGCTTGGCACCTGCGTGTTCAGTGAATGTTAACTATTCTAAAAAGTGGATGGCCGTGATCTGAGCACTACTGGCAGTGAGGGTTGGGATGGAAGGAGCGAGGCGGAGACGAGTGCAGTCCACGCTACTGCAGGTGTGGACACTTGGGTGTCCAGCGTGGGCCCAGGGTCAGTGTCTGCACCAGGAGTCCAATGAAACAGCCACTCGCTGCCGTTTGCAAGCTCTGCCCTCGGCTGGTGCCCAGGTTTCTGGGCGCAGCAGCGGAGTGGACTAGTACTGGTGCTTCTGAAGAATGCAGTGCAAAGGGTGGGAGTGTGGGGAGCTGCTGAGGTCTGTCCTAGATGCCTCGGGTTCGAAGAACCTGCTGGAGCCCACTCAGCAAGGTGTCCTGGAGAGATTGAAGCCGGGAGGGGTGCAGTTTGGGAGATGCCAGCACACAGGCAAGAGCGGGCAGGTCTGGTGAGTGCTCAGGCCCAGCAGCATAGAGGGCAAAGCGGGGCATCCCTAACAGGCACCGCCCTGAAACCAGGCGGGCACTGCTAAGAGGCAGGGAATGGGGGCGGGTGGGGGAAGGGGGTCAAGCCAGGAACAAAAGGAATTGCGACAGCCCGGGAGGACCCTGTGCAGCCAAGACAGCCATGGGATGGCAGCAGGCAGAGACCAGTGAGGCCATCTGGAGTCCCAGCTCTCGTCGGACCCCCGCAGGGCCCCCTGGCCGCTGGACGAGAGGAGAAGGCCACACATATGTGTCTGGGCAAGGTGGCTGCTGTCTTGAGAATTGCAAGGAGTGCCACCCCGTAGGTGGTTCTGGTCCTGGCTCTGCGTCCCACTGCGGGAAACTCCCTGCATGTGTGGGTTGTTTCCCACGCTTCCCCCCCCCCTTCTCCCCCTAACCCTCCACCTCCTGGCAGATGAAAAGCTTGGGCTAGGGTCTCCTGCTCTGCCCTGCATCCCAGCCATGGGGGGCCATGGCCCCCCTCCAACCTGGCCACAGACTCTGGCTGCAGACCCCTGCAGAGGGGCGGCTGCGGCTTTCAGAGCCCTAGGCTGTGATGGGGCTCACAACACCAGAGACAGAAGGGGAGGCCCCAGCCTTTGGCTGGAGAAAGGCACTCTGGGTGGGGCGCAGAGCCAACAGGTGTGCCTAATCCACAGCTTCATCTGGCTGAGATCACAACCGCTGAGAGGCAAGTTCCAAGCAGCCTTCGCCTCCCTCAGCTGCAATGGGAGGTCCTCCTGCAAGTGAGCATAACATGGGGAGAGAAGGAAGGTTTTCAGGCTGGCCCCTGCCCGGGTCCTCTTCTCCTTCCCACCGGCAGAGCCTGTGTCTCAAGGGGCCAGCTCCCAGTCCCAGCCTCGCTGCCCCTGTGTGTTGCCCTGGCTGGTCGACGTCTGCCAGGTGACATGAAAGAAATAAACAAGTCACTCTCATCCGCAAGAGTTCAAGTCCCTCTGGCTTTTATGCCAGTGGTAATCTGTCAATGCTCCCAGTGTCTCACTAGCCAGCCTGTCCCCAAAAGTTGTTCACCACTGACAGCATGCATACCAGACAGCCTCTGCTTGAAGGCTTCTAGTGATGGGGAACTGTTTCATCTCTAGACTTTTCTCTCTTTTTTAAGATTTTATTTATTTGTTTGAGAGAAAGAGAGCGAGCAGAAGCAGGGGGGAGGGGGAGAGGGAGAGAGAGAAAAGCAGACTCCCCGCTGAGCAGGGAACCCGCTGTGGGGTTCGATCCCAGGACCCTGAGATCATGACCTGAACCAAAGGCAGACACTGAACCAACCAAGCCACCCAGGTGTCCCATCTCTAGACTCTTCTGATGGTTTAAAGCACATCTTTTCAGTGTGGCACCCATCTCTGATCTCTGCTTCCTAGAATGTTACTGATAAGGATAAAAGCTATCATACCATTCATTTACATGCGCCATTTCATCTGATCTTTACTCTGATCCATGACAATGCTCTCCATTTCCCAGGCAGAGAACTGGGGCTCAGAGGTTAAGTAACACGGACAAGATCACACAGCCAATAAGCTCTCTCTGTCCATGGAGCCGTGCCTTCCTCACTGAACCCGACAGCTCCTCCGAGATCCAACTC